GATGGCCTTTTCTATTGAAGTTTAATGCTCAGAGTATCTTTATTTTTCACAACCAATTTCCATCTTCATAGCATCGAGAATCAACACTTTGAAATCCTTCTTTTTGATTTCAGTTTCAATAGGCAAGCTCCTGTCAACCACATGGTCCGTAGTCATGACAACCGTGTCTTAGCCAATCGGATTGCTTGTACTACTGGTCTGGTGCGCTCGTACACGGCGGTGCGAGCGGGGTTATTAATGTCTGCCTACGGCGGTGCTGTTGTGGTCAAATGTCGACAGTCGCATAAACTGGCTGAGATTGTGGAGACTGACCGGTCGGAGGGTATGCGTGTTTGTCCGGTTGGAGGAGTGTGTAGTTGCATACGGACCTTGTCACGTGTATACATGTGGTAGTTGTCAATATTGTCCCACAACTATGGTGTATATACCTATTGGAGTGTGTGTATATGCGCTATATTGAAGTTTCATGCTGCATTGATAGGTGCAGTTTTCGCCTTTGCCGTGGGCGATCGTCTACATTCATTCTACAGTGTTCACAGACTGTATTAGCCCGATCTCAAACACTCAGTCTTACACACAACCCATACAAGCCTGCTCACTGGCTGCTTAATAGCCGCCTTGTGTGCCTTAAACGCTATCTTACTTTACTTTTTATTTTTGTTGCCGTTTCTGCCACAGATCTGGATGTGGGTCTGGGCATCCCTGAGCTTTCGGCCGTGCCTAGTGCGGTGGCTGTAGGGGCACGCGCACGTGCGGAAAACCACACCAGCACGCACACACACACACACAGCTTACATGCACACAGTGCCGATCATCCCTTTCAACAAGCACCTGTGCATGTCGGTGTGGAGTGTGGGGAAGGCGGTACTTGGGATGAGAGGGGTCACGAATTGGTCGAGGTCGGCGAGCGTACTGATAGGAGTATATTACCCGTACCTACGGAATTCACAGACAGTCTTAGTCCCCGGAATGGGAACAGCGGGCATGGTAGTGCCGTACCTGAACGAAACAGTGATAGGAATACGTATACTTCACGCGGCGCAGAGATAAACCGGGATGTAAACCGGGACGAGCCGGCGTTGTTAACCATGGCCGAGCTGGAGATTGAGCAGGGTATCGACTGGGGGGCGGATGAGCGTCCTACGGCGGGTACAGTAGAAAGCGCCTATAGTCATGCGAGTACACCTTCTGCACATACACACACAGAGCATGGGGTGGATGGGTTGAATGGGCCACCCACGTATATGGGCGAAGGTGCAGACGGGGGCGTGTATGCACACACAGACGTACGGCATACAGGCACGTCTCAGGCTTTACAGACACACCGATTGGAGGACGGAGAGATAAGGAATGATATAGAGAGACATGCGGTATCAGCAGACGGCTGTACACACACACCGCCTACACAGGGACTGAATGAGTGGGTGCACGAGGAGGGTATCGACTGGGAAGGCTCGCTGGAAAGAGAGAGAGGGGGGTCTTCACCACACACACGTACACATGAGGATCTGTACGCGAACGCCGTTGGAGACAAGTACGCGGATACGCATGCAGACACGTATGCGAGCGCACATGCACAGGCAGATAGGAGGGTAGGTAGTGGATATGCAAGCTTGGACACACACACACAAACGCATAAGTTAACTAAGGCACAGAAGCGAAACATGGCTGCGGCAGAGAAGGAGATGACGCAACACCATACGGATGCATACAACAGTACTGGTAACCGTAGCAACGAAGGGAACCAACACCATGCCAACAATCAAACTGAAAACACGCAATACCTGGACTATGTGGAACAGGCGTTCTATGCGGCCACCCATCCCGATCAGATGCTACAGGTGCTAGAGGTAGTGTTGGATGTGACTGTTAGAAGAACGTGACCGTGTATCCGTGTGTTATATATAAATT